ACTCATGTGGAAATCTGATCCCCAATGTAGCAGTGTTGGGAGCTGTTTGAGTCATGGGGGCGGATCCCTCATGGATGGATTAGTGCTCTCCCTGGGGGGTGGGGTAGTGAATGAGTTCTTGCTTTATTAGTTCCCACCAGAGCTGGTTGCTTAAAAGACCCTGGCACCTCTTCTCTCGCTCTCTTGCTTCCTCTCGCCATGTGACCTGCTTGTCCCCACCAGCTGCCCTGCCGCTTTCCACCATGAGTAGAAGCAGCCTGAGGCCTGCTCCACATACAACTGTCCCAGAATTGTGAGCCGGATAAACCTCTGTTTATAAATTACCCAGTCTCAGGTGTTCTGTTATAGCAATGCAAAAATGGACTAATACAGCATACAAAGAATATCCCAAGCAATCTACAAACTATTAGAATTAATATGTGAATTTAGCAAAGGCACTGATTATATCAATATAGAAGTATCAATTATGTTTTCTGTATAGTAAATACAAATAATTAGAAAATAAAATTTACAAATGATACCATTTATAATACAACCAGAAAACATCAATCCTAATAATAAATCTAACAAAAGGTGTGTAAACCATCAAAACTGAAAACTATATTGTTGAAAAACATGAAAGATGCAAAGACATGGAGGAATATACCCTATTCATGGATTGGAAGACTAAATATTGTTAAGATTTAGATTTTCTATAAATTTATCTCTAGTTTTCTGCAATATCAATCAAAATTTCAGGAATTGTTTTGGTGGAAATTGACAATTGGATTCTAAAATTGACAGGGAAATGCAAAGTGTCAAGAAGAGATAAGGCAATCTCGGAGAACAGAGTTGGAGGACTTACACTGCCAGTTATGAAGATCTACTATAAAGCTATCATAATCCAGACAGTGTGGTGTTGGCATAAAGATAAAAAAGTAGACTGATGGAAGAGAGTAGAAAGTCCGGAAACAGACCCATGCACGTGTGGTCACTTGATTTATCACAAAGGTAATATTACAGCGTAGTGGGGAGAGGACGATCTTTCAATCAATGTTTCTGGTCCATTGGGTGTCCACATGAAAAATGATGTCATAGGGCCGGCCCGGTGGCGCACTGGAGAATGCGCCGCTTGGGAGTGCGGTGGTGCTCCCGCCGAGGGTTCGGATCTCATGTGGTGACCGGTTCCCGCTCACTGGCTGAGCGCGGCGCAGGCGCAGCACCGAGGGTTGCGATCCTGTTGCCGGTCCCCGGTATGGGTGCGACACCGAGGGTTGCGATCTCATACC